AATTGCTCTCAAGAGCGCGCAGAAAAGCTTAATCGGCCATCGTTAAGACGCAGTCGCCACGTGATAAGACTGAAACTGGTACACTTAATCATAATCTCATCACAGCCTTTTCTCAGTAAATTAAGCATCTTCTTAATTCCAGCGTTTTGCGGTTAATAAGGTGATAAATGAGGCATCAGCGGATATATCTTATTATATGAAAAATACACTATAACTTCTTGCAAAAAGTAATCGTAACGAGATTGATGTAACAGAGTTATTGCAGATTTCTAAAGTACGAATTATATGTACACACATAAATATATAAATAATATAAATAATAATTTTTTTTTATCAGTGTAAAGTGGTTTTATCGGTATAAAGTGTTTATCAGGAAATATACGCTACATCGTCACAAGATTTTAACCACTCGCGTCACGCACATGCTTAGCTGCGCGCGGCTGAAGAAATCGAGGCGGCCGACTATCGAGAACGAGATAAACGAAGTTAATGAGGTAGTCCTCGGGAGAACAGAAGAGACCTTAACGAACAGTACGTATATACACACGCACGGCAAAACACTTGACCGCCTCTCGCAGGACGATACACGCCGGCTTTGTTTTGCTTTTCGCCGACTGGATCGGCCATTGTTTTGCAAGGGAGCCATTGAGATTAGTTTCTTCGCTGCTGACAATGATTGATTGTATTATTCAGCTAAAGGCGAATTCCTGCGTCGTTTCCGTCAATCGCCTAAAGTTCCAAGACGACAATTTTACCCGAATGGTTTGTACGTCGGTCCTCGACCGGTGTCACTGTAGATGGTTTCTTTTTTCCATTTCTTCCCGTATAAACGGTAGCTCATAAATCTTTCTTCATTCTTTCCAACCGTGAGAATTTTTTACTCCAATCATATGTTTTTGCGATTGATACTATTGCGGAGAATGTACCGCGCGTTTACTGCGGGTACTGCATTCATTCGCGTTACACAAGCGTGTCGGTAGAACATATTCACCAGGGAACAAACGACAAAAGCCTGTCCCGAGAGAGTGGCTATCGTCGTGAAAAATCCGGGTCGGAAGGCAGATGCCAGCAGCTACCGGAATGCAAATTCATTTAGAGAAGAAACGCTAAATGCACGCCGAGGTCATGGCGCGGCGCAGCGTGTGCTCACCAATGGTTGTAGTGGCCGTGGGAAGCTGCTTGGATGTTAGATAATTGAACAATTTCTCAGAAAATAGAGGCGCGAGAGCGCGTATCGACAAAGCGAGTGAGAGAGAAAGAGAGAGAGAGAAAGAGAGGAAGGAGAAGGCGTATGAGCTCGTAAGAGAACCACATACGGGAAAACGCGGCAGCAGTCTTCGCGTGTAATTAAACGTAACGGTGATGGCATTGGGTTCTCATTGGTGGCGTAATGTCGCAAGTACTACTAATTGGTACGACGGGTGGAAGCGTCGAACGCCCGGTTGCTTCCGTCGCGGAAGCTCAGCGCAAGAAAATTACACACGTAGGAATCAGTTGGCTGGATTCAATATACCGTGTTCGACATCCCATGCAACAGCGTACTTATAGACGGATAACGTCGGATGTTTAAGCGAATATGGGACGTGTTCATTAAAGATGGATTTATATGGAAATTAGAGTAATATTATTCAGATATATAATATGTCTTTCTTCTTGTTCTTGAAATTTTTATTTTACTTAACTATAATTAAATGAAAAAAATGTATTTGTTCATACAACAACTCTAACAAACTTTAAATAATTATTACAGTTATATAAATAAAATTTCAAAAAATGTTTTTTCAGAGAAATTTTTACAGATATTTTAAAAATTTTATCATGCGCCGTATTGTAGCGCAATTAATTTTTCATCAATCGTCAATTCTCTCTTGGAAATAAATATTTTTATTTTTGTATAGATTATTATTTGATTCATTTAAATTTAAAGAATGGCTTGACGCAAACAAAGCTATTGTTATTTGTGCCGAAATCCGTTTACTTATTCATGAGTTTTTTTTATTCAGAATTTGTGAATTCAAATTAGCAGTGTGGGTTTGTTGGACAACGATATCTCGCATGACGTAATGCAATCTGAGTTGAAGCGATAGATGAACATCGCCGACAGGAGCAAGTCGACAGGCCGTAAAAAAAAGAGATCATTGGTAATGCAACGGTGGTGGTCAGTGCAACGACCGTGCGCGTACGCGGGCGCGCGCACAGCCGCAAATGACATCAGGATAATTTTCCAGCTCGAAAATCACGAAGCACACCGAGGCAGGCACCGTGAACGCGCAACGTGCCGCTGACACTTCAACAAGTGGATACAACACGCGGGCGCACGTGTCGCCGACAGTTTTGGCGTGTGTGTGCGAAAACAGAGACGCGAAAACGGAGATAAAAGTGCCGCGAACGGCGCGAGAGTGCAAGTTCATCGAACTGCGCTGGTCATGAAAAGTCAGGGCCGTCGATGCAAAATGTTTATACCGCAGCTTACCGCACGCGTTTAAATATTTTTAGCCACCTAAAACGCCGTCGGGCCGCGAAAAGTCGCCAATCCTATTGGTTACGTGGTTTGTTAGCGTTATTGGTATCGTTGTTGCGCGCATACCTTTGTTAGGCAGGCAGCGAGATACATCGTGACGTGATAATTCGAAACGTGATATTACGAGAACAACTTAAAGAACAAAATGTATTATATTAATACGCGTTTCTTGATCATTTACACGTTTTGCTATTTTTAGACTCAAAAATATAAGCTATAATACGTGGAAACCTACATAGTATAATTAAATGCAAGAATAGAGTGTATTTCATGTGCTTTGTGGCACATCTTATCTATGAGGCAAGGTTCACATGGTTCAAATACACAGAGAAAATCTGTTAAATAATTGCTAATGATATGCCTTTTATTCAACATACACGCTGTATCTTCCTATTGCGTTGTTGAATAATAAGATGGAAATAGAAGGTAGAGAGAGAATGTATTCTCTAAACGTCGGATTTCAATAGATTTAGTTTTTAATATAGAATGCTTTTGTAAAGTTTTTTTTTAAGATCAAATATTCCCTTAAAGTAATTAAATCTTTTTATATATTTTAGTTTTGGGGAGATAATATATTGGTTTCTGAAATTACGGTAAATTTGTGAAAATGTAGGAAATAAAATTTTGTGTAATTTTAATCAGCTTAAATTTGGATATGTAACGAGAAACATAAATCAATATAAGGGGTCAGTCATATGAGATATTTCTTTCGCCGCACGTAGCATTTATGGCTTTGCGCAACTGAAATCGATATGTGTATTACGAATCGGGATGTCATAAATCGACATGTCCAGCTGCGCGCGTGGATAATTGCGCGTGACGAGATGCAGACGGCGGATAGGTCTCGATCGAGGATTCAATGAAAATAACGCGTGAAGAAATATAGCGGGAAGCGTGAGCTGGTGGGTCACGAGAAAGAAAACAGAAAAGAGAAGAGAATGGAGCCGCGAATGCGAGGCGAGCACCGAGGGGAACGTGAAGAAGAAACCCGTTATGGTGACCGTGTTGCATCGCATTAACCAGTCGACCGAGTGATCCTGATCCAATCTTTCACCTTGATGCTTTGCTTTCCTCAACGAGCGAAATGCGTCCACCATGACGGCAGTTTACCTCTTAATGACCACGATTCTTGTGTACCTTTCAGCCATGAGTCACAACGTACGAGATGGAACGTTGCTTACTGAAGACTTTCTTACTTAAAGTTCGTTTCAAGTTGATTTAAATATTTAAAATTCTTAAATCATTATTATTTCTGCTAAAAGTATACCGAGTTTCGCTCTACTTTTATATCTAATATTCTCTTTACCAACTTTTAAATTACGTAATTATCGAAGTAAAAACTTCTAATAATGTTTATTAAATAAAATGAATTTATTTATTAAGTTTCGGAAAATATATTTTGGCCAAAGAGTCTTACTGAATTACAAAAACGATTCTGTGATCCGTATAATGTTTCAATCCGAGCGATTACGCAAGAGTGCGACGTGATCATGAACAAGGGTGCAAATGCGTTTGTGATTTGTACGTTCTCTCGCGCGACCCAGTACTTTTTATAATTACATATGGGTGAGTGGACTTTAATTAGCGACAATGGGCCGCGGGCAAGAAATGAGCACAGTTCGCCTGAAATTTAGCTCAATTATTATAATCGTTTGCTTGCGTACGGACGATTTATCCGCATTGTATAATTATTTCGGGCCATAATGAGGCGACGCGTTAATTAGGGTTTATTCCACCATTATCTCGCGCGCATCGATATTCGTTGGCATAATTAGATATTTTATTATCCTAGGAGTTAAGCCACACTAGCTTGACCGGTCTGAATCAATAAACCCATACGTTAAGCGTTTATTAAACGCGTAATAAATCGTTCCCTCGCATCTTCCATTCTTCCAATCGCGATTCAATAAACTTGTTTCGATTCCTCGATAACTCAACATTCCCCGAGGCTATTTTGAGGAATAAGATATACTAGATACTTAAGTTACTACATATACAACGCGTAACTTCCACGCTTGATTATTACTCGGTGATAAATCTATCTACTTTCGCGGCAGCGACCGACACCGGTATTTTATTATGCAACAAAATCGGCGACTGGAATGCGCGTGTACAGGTTCGAGATATTTTTTTTTATCAAGATTTCATCGATAACGTCGATAAGCAAAATATAACAGCATTCCACAAATTCCACGGACCTTTGATGGGCAGTGACGCAATTTTATGATCCTTTCAGGAACCAAACGCCACTCAGTTTCGAAATTTAAGGTATTCGATACGAAGTCGAGAATCTCTTTTCGCATCTTGTTTAACAATCTTTTAAAACTCAGACTTTGTAACGAGTATTTTTGCCGGATAACGACATGCAAGAAATACATATGAAATGCACGGTATATAAACGCACAGTTTCATTTGTATTTGAAAGCACATTTATCTTCTAGAAAAACGGAACTGAGGCGGAAAATAAATTACGACTTACCTGAATGTCCACCAGATGTTGAAGCACATCGTGTTCAGCCAGAAGAAAGCAGCCAGGAAGAAGAAGTGCGCCATGATCGCTGAAACATAACGAGATAAGTTTCGTTAGAGATGGCTGTGTAAATGCTTTAAGAACTTTACTTTCTTCCGTAAAAATATTGTATTGTACAATGTCAAGAAATTTTTTACTTCGTAATTACAAATGTTGATAAAGTTTGATAGATCAATACAGATATTTTTAATTATCGTGTATGTGTTATGTCCATCAAAATATAAATTTTCCATGACGCTTAAATTTTTACTTTTGTCTAATCATATTTTTAATTAAGTCTAATTATCAAATCATTAAACAAATATTCATAAAAAAATACAAAAATCAGAGATAAAAGTATTAATTTGTTGTTGTGAGAAATTTTCTTGCATTAAAATACTTTATCCGCATTAATGTTTGTAATTATTGCAAAATTTCATATCGTTTCAACGCCCGCAAATCCTGCAGAAAATTATCGATTTCTCTTTAATCATTTAGCCCGACTCTCTAAACGGATTCGCTTTGTAACGGGTAAACGAGCTCGCCGAACAAAGACCGCGTCGCGGGTTTTCTGTACCTCGATGCGTTCTTAAAAGATTCATAAACCACGGTACGGGGGTGAATTTCGAGGGTGCGACACGTAAGCAAAGGGCCAGACAAAACTCCGGGGAGAGAGACAGCTTTTGTGAAGATCTGTTTGAAAAGTCGCCAAGAGGGTGCGGCGGGTGGTGGTGTCCATAAATTTTTCAGTAAGAGTGTCGCCCGCATTCATCTTTAGAAATCTGTGCTTCTAAATGAAGAACGAAAGTTATAGACGTTAATTTTTACTGCGTAAACTGAAAACACTTCACAAAGAGACGCCTGTCCAATTTTTAATTTAAAAAATCTAAAATATAGATAGCAATAATTATAACTAATAATATCCTATAAATTTGAATGCGTAACTTTTCTAACTCAAATTATATTAAAATCAATTTAGATAAGCGCAGATAATAAATTAGATAAAAATCAAAATTATTCGCTATAATAAAAAAATTATTAGCTTGTTATTTTTTATAATTATTCTTCCTAATAAATAATAAAAATTTCATTTTTATTTTTATCATATATATATAGTGCAGTTTTTGATGATATATCATACATGTTTATAAAATACGTCGTATACGTTGTGTCACATAAAAATGCAGAAATGCACCAAATTACAAAAAAATGGCGATAGTGAGAACCGACGGCGAGAGAAATAAAAAATCATTTCAATATTTGCGTGGTTCGCGTATTAATAAATTTTTAACATCGTCGCGCACGTTTAGAACGTGGAATAACATGCATAAAATAAAAATAAAATGCAAACCGTCGATGAACGTAGGACATTAATTTCTAAAAATATGCCGTAATCGGCAGCAATGCATAATGGTGACAATAACAAATGTGCGTGAAAGCTCCCGCTCAGACTTTGTCAAGTATTCTTTTGCGAATAGGTACTTGATTTTCAATAAGCACAGGCGTATATGCAATTGAATGTATGTCATCAGCATCAGTGGAGTGCGTAAAACGTGGAATTTACGTTGTAATTAAAACAAACGCAACGGCAATCATTGATCGTTACATTACTCTTTAGTAATCGAAACGTTTAATCTTTCAGAGTTTAATTACACATTCAGCGCATTTCACGAAACTCAAAATATTCACGATAAAATTGGTTATAATAAAATGCAGCGTACATTTTAATTCTATTAACTTTGTGCGGGATAAAATTTTGAAACTTGCTTGGTAAAAATAAACGCCCATCATTAATTACACATCAACGCACTTTTCACGGATATCCAGAATACGCGAATTTTATCTAACAATTTCGTTATAATTTCAATATAATCACAGCTGTCCAGTTGTATATATAAATGTACACATTATAAGCAATTCACAGGAAATGGTGCTATTTAATTCTTTGTGATATATACGACATCAATCGGCAACGGTGATATCTTTGATTTCGCAATGCGCGTGAATTACGATGCGTGGCTCAAGGATCGATGATGCCATGACGCATGAGAAACCGTTGTAACCAAGTCTCTTGCATTCGTTTCGTTATGCCTGGTGAATTACCTTTGAATAAATGTGCAATTAGAACTTCACGCGTATAAAAATATGAATAGTGGCTGCGAGTGACTCATCGCGCGTATCTATCGCTTAATCAACTCTCTATTCAGCCGCAATTATCCTAACGGAATGGCGAAAACGCTGCTGATAGAGAGATAAATCGCAGTGTAAACATGTCTGAATGCATGCCGTAGGTTCAATTAACTTTTACTTTGTAATCGACGCGGCGCCATATGTGCAATGAAAAACTTCATATCGCTAATGGAGAGGATAGTCGCCTTCGGGCGATGGGTGCAGAATCGCGATTTTAAAGATCGGCCAATAGATGTGTTGCGTAATTTACGGCCCCGAGGCAGCGAAACTTACGACTTGAGTATTTTATGCGAACGAAAAACTCACGCATTCAACGGAAATAATTGATAAATTTAAAATACATACGAGAATCGATTTGATTGTCAACGGTTACAATTACATTTTTATAAATAGACTACAGATTATAAATATATATTCAATGATTCAGTAAATTTGCACTGTAATATTTTTAAATGTTAAAAAAATAACCATTTTGTTGTACCGAGAAATTATTTAATAGAACACGTGCCTTGGAGCGTCTACCCACGCATGCAAAAACAATAAATTTATATTTGACTAAATCCCGGAGAAATTACTTTCGCCAACGGTCGCTAAGTAGAACGCAGTGTCCATTCGACGAAACGTAGAGTAACGATTTGCAATTACAGGATCTCCCATTCCGGCGCGCGAAGTCACCCGAAGTGAGATTAACGCGTACGTTACGCGGTGAAATCGTCAAATAATTCTTCGCCAGGAGGCTTTTACGGTACGGGACGGCAGCCGGCGGCATTTATCGCGTAGCCCGGAAATAATTAAATTTCCAAAACTAATTACGGCTCGTTGCAATTATAACTCGGGCGACATTCATCCGTGAATCGCCACACTATCATCCACCCTCGTCGACCCGGCTCGGGTAGAGTGCTCGCAGGAGCGAATCGTTCCGGTGTCTCACCCCACGACGACCACCACCACCACCGCCACCACCCTTCATCGGCAAAATCCACCCAGCAACGTGTTTCGGACGGCGGGGGTGGATCGTGTTTGCGCGGTGTGTTTTCCATTTTCCACGCCCGGTAGAACCCGTCGTATGCGGAAGAGGTCCTTTTGTTGGAATTAGTACCGTGAGTCGAGGGAAAGAGAGAGAGAGAGAGAGAGAGAGAGAGAGAGAACGAGAGAGAGAGAGAGAACGAGAGAGAGAAACAGGAATATCGCCCAGCGGATGTTTTGAAGTACGACGCACTGCTTGTTTTCTCATTCATCATGATTTATATGAGTCGTGAACAGCGATGCAGAAAGAAGGACATAGCTTGATAAAAAGACGATCTTATGTTAGCAATTCTCAACCGAGGAAACGTCGAGACGGAATGAAAAGATATTCGCTTGCGGAAGAATCTTCTTTATGTCTCGTGTCGAGAGTGTATTATTCATAGAGAAGTGTAACGCGTGCAGGACAAAAGTCGAAAAAAGTTTGAAAAAAATATATCCGTTGCTTACTCTATAATAAAAAATCTGTCGCGCGAATAGAAAAATATACAAAGTTAATAAAAATCCACAATAACAAAATAATTAATATACAATAATGTTAATATTAATTATATAAAATAATTATTAATTTTATTATTAAATAAATGAATTTTCATATTTCATTAAACAGCTATTGATTATTTGATAATCATTCTAATCTTCAAATTTATTCAACAAAATGCTAAAATTTCTTTAATTATAATGCTAAGTATATATTTATTTTTTTAACAGTCTCTAAAAATTCTGAGTTAAACAAATGTTTATACCATAATTGAATTTTTCCTGCAGGCCAAGCTCATTCCCCAGCTCGTGAGTTTTACGATGAAAGACCTTTCGTTAAAATTGGCTTTTAGATTGCGAGTGAGACGGAGAAATTCGAGGAGAGAAGAGGTGGAGATGGCGCGAAACAGCTGGGGTTAATTTAAGTCACGTTGTACAGAGTCGAAGGAAGTAGTACTGTGGCGTTACATGTACGACCCTATGACGCCACCAAGGGTGAGTGTCAAGGGTTGGAACGTCAGCCAGTTAAGGGTGCCTCGATTTGCATGGGGTCGGAATTAGATTGCGCGGGTTGACCCATCGTTTATCTTTTTCTTTCCCAGAGTACATCTAATTGCCCTGAGGGATGACACCCTCACGAACACGTGCGTGCTAACGTTATTGCAGCGCGTTCTTTGTAACGTGATATAAAATAAACATATTTATTTCCATTTGCAAGTCCATTTATAATTAAATGTCGGTACAATACAAAGCCCCAGCCATTCGCGTTATTTTTTTTTTAATGACTTCGATGACAAAGATATTGAATCTGCCTCACAATATTTCATTTACCAATTAAAAAAAAATTAAATTTTTATTTATCAATTAAAAATTCAATTTTAAATTAATTAAAATTTTGAATTTTATAAAAATTGGAAAAATAAAATGTGTTTACTTTATCCGAAAAATTATTAAAAGTATGCAAGAATGATAAATTGTATAAATTAGTTTAATATTATTATTATTATTAATATTTCAAATATAGCATACATTTATATCAACCTTTATCACATGTGTTTCAATAATAAATATAAGCACAGCTGTTGGAAATAAAGTAAAGACCACCGTACAATCGAGTGATTCTCCTCAGAAATCCTAACGCAATAAAAAAGCCTGTACAAAAGTTTCCTCCTCCCCTTCATATTAACGCACAAAAGAGAAAAAGTGACACTAATGCGCCGCCAGTATCACGCGGCCTTAGCTTCGCTCATTTAAGTTAAACACCACGAAACGGCGCCGTCGCTCGTCGTAATTGGATCACAGTGGCTTTATTACACCGTCTTGATTTAACACGGGGTTAGAATTAGACTCGATGTG